AGTGGTTACCATCAACACATCATTGGTAACCGTCAACACATCAGTGGTAACGATCAACACATCAGTGGTTACCATCAACACGACAGTGGTTACCAGCAACACATCAGGGGCTACCATCGACACATCAGTGGTTACCATGAACACATCAGTGGTTACCAGCAACACATCAGTGGTCACTATCAACACTACAGTGGTTACCGTCAACACATCAGTGGGTACCATCAACACATCAGTGGTTACCATGGACACATCAGTGGTAACCATCAACACATTAGTGGTTACCAGCGACACATCTGTGGTTACCATCGACACATCAGTGGTTACCATGAACACATCAATGGTTACCATCAACACATCAGTGATTACCATCAACACATCAGTGGTTACTATCAACACATCAGTGGTTACTAGATTTATATAAGTGGTTACCATCGACATATCAGTGGTTACCATCAACACATCAGTGGTAACCATAGACACTTCAGTGGTTACCATCAACACATCAGTGGTTACCATCGACATATCAGTGGTAACCATCAACACACCAGTGGTAACCATCAACACATGAGTCGTTACTATCAACACATCAGTGGTTACCATCGACACATCAGTGGTTACCATCAACACATCAGTGGTTACCATCGACACATCAGTGGTTACCATCAACACATCAGTGGTTACCATCAACACACCAGTGGTTACCATAGAAACATCAGTGGTTACCATCAACACATCAGTGATTACCATCGACACATCAGTGGTTACCATCAACACATCAATGGTTACCATCAACACTACAGTGGTTACCATCAACACGACAGTGGTTACCAGCAACACATCAGTGGCTACCATCGACACATCAGTGGTTCCCATGAACACATCAGTGGTTACCCTCAACACATCAGTGATTACCATCAACACATCAGTGGTTACTATCAACACATCAGTGGTTACCATCGACACATCAGTGGTAACCATCAACACAGCAGTGGTTACCAGCAACATATCAGTGGTTACCATCAACACATCAGTGGTAACTGTCAACACAACAGTGGTTACCATGACACATTAGTGGTTACCATCAACACATCAGTGGTCACTATTAACACATCAGTGGTTACCATCAACACGACAGTGTTTACCATCAACACACCAGTGGTTACCATCAACACATCAATGGTTACCATCAACACTACAGTTGTTACCATCAACACGACAGTGGTTACCAGCAACACATCAGTGGCTACCATCGACACATCAGTGGTTACCATGAACACATCAATGGTTACCATCAACACATTAGTGATTACCATCAACACATCAGTGGTCACTATCAACACATCAGTGGTTACTAGATTTATGTAAGTGGTTACCATCAACACATCATTGGTTACTGTCAACAAATCAGTGGTCACTATTATCACATCAGTGGTTACCATCAACACATTAGTGGTAACTGTCAACACAACAGTGGTTACCATGACACATTAGTGGTTACCATCAACACATCAGTGGTCACTATTAACACATCAGTGGTTACCATTAACACATCAGTGATTACCATCCACACATCAGTGGTTACCATCAACACATCAATGGTTACCATAAACACATCAGTGGTTACAATCAACACATCAGTGGTTACCATCGACACATCAGTGGTTACCATCGACATATCAGTGGTTCCCATCAACACATCAGTGGTTATCAACACATCAGTGGTAACTGTGAACACAACAGTGGTTACCATCACCACATCAGTGGTCACCATCAACACATCAGTGGGGACCATCAACACATCAGTGGTTGCCATCAACCCATCAGTGGTTACCATCGACATATCAGTGGTAGACACATCAGTGGTTACCATCGACTCATCAGTGGTTACCATCGACATATCAGTGGTAGACACATCAGTGGTTACCATCGCCTCATCAGTGGTTACCATCGACATATCAGTGGTCACCATCAACACATCAGTGGGGACCATCAACACATCAGTGGTTCCCATCAACACACCAGTGGTAACCATCAACACATAAGTGGTTGCCATCAACACATCAGTGGTTACAATCAACACGACAGTGGTTACCATTAACACATCAGTGGTAACCATAGACAAATCAGTGGTTACCATCAACACGTCAGTGGTCACTATTAACACATACATCAGTGGTTACCATCGACATATCAGTGGTAACCATCAACACACCAGTGGTTACCATCAACAGGTTACCATCGACACATCAGTCGTTACAATCGACACATCAGTGGTTACCAGCGACACATCATCAACACATCAGTGGTTACAATCAACACGACAGTGGTTACCATCAACACAACAGTTCAACACACCAGTGGTAACCATACAAACATCAGTGGTTACCATCGACACAACAGGGGTTACCATCAACACATCAATGGGTACCATAAACACATCAGTGGTCACTATTAACACGTCAGTGGTTACCATCAACACAACAGTTCAACACACCAGTGGTAACCATCAACACATTAGTGGTTACCATCGACACATCAGTGGGTACCATAGACACATCAGTGGTAACCATCAACACATGAGTCGTTACTATCAACACAGCAGTGGTTACCATCAACACGACAGTGTTTACCAGCAACACATCAGTGGTTACCATATACACATCAGTGGTTACCATCAAGACATCAATGGTTACCATAAACACACCAGTGGTTACCATAGAAACATCAGTGGTTACCATCAACAAACCAGTGGTCACTATTAACACATACATCAGTGGTTACCATCGACTCATCAGTGGTTACCATCGACATATCAGTGTTTACCATCAACACATGAGTCTTTACTATCAACACATCAGTGTTTACCATCGCCACATCAGTGGTTACCATCGACTCATCAGTGGTTACCATCGACACAACAGTGGTTACCATCAACACACAAGTGGTAACCATCGAAACATAAGTGGTTACCATCAACACATCAGGGGTAACCATCAACACATCAGTTACCATCGACACATCAGTGGGTACCATAGACACATCAGTGGTAACCATCAAAACATTAGTGGTTACCATCGACACATAAGTGGTTAACATCAACACATCAGTGGTTACTAGAATTATGGAAGTGGTTACCATCGACATATCAGTGGTCACCATCAACACATCAGTGGTTCCCATCAACACACCAGTGGTAAACATAGAAACATCAGTGGTTACCCTCAACACATCAGTGGTCACTATTATCACATCAGTGGTTACCATCAACAAACCAGTGGTCACTATTAACACATCAGTTCAACACATCAGTGGTTACCATGGTCACTATTAACACATCAGGGGTTACCATCAACACATCAGTTGTTAACATCAACACATCAGTGGTTACTAGATTTATGTAAGTGGTTACCATCAACACATCGATGGTTACCATAAACACATCAGGGGTTACCATCGACACATCAGTGGGTACCATCAACACACCAGTGGTAACCATAGAAACATCAGTGATTACCATCAACACGACATTGGTTACCATCAACACATCAGTAGTAACTGTCAACACAACAGTGGTTACCATCAACACTACAGTTGTTACCATCAACACGACAGTGGTTACCATCAACACAACAGTTCAACACACCAGTGGTAACCATAGAAACATCAGAGGTTACCATCAACACATCAGTGGTTACCATCAACACACCAGTGGTAACCATAGAAACATCAGTGGTTACCATCAACACATCAGTGGTCACTATTAACACATCAGTGGTTACCATCAACACATCAATGATTACCATCTACACATCAGTGGTTACCATCTATACATCAATGGTTACCATCAACACTACAGTGGTTACCATCAACACACCAGTGGTAACCATCAACACATTAGTGGTTACCATCAACACACCAGTGGTTACCATCAACACATCAGTGGTTACCATCAACACATCAGTGGTTATCATCAACACAACAGTGGTTACCATCAACACATCAGTGGTTACCATCACCACATCAGTGGTCACCATCAACACATCAGTGGGGACCATCAACACATCAGTGGTTACCATCAATACATCAGTGGTAACCATCAACACATCAGTGGTTACCATCAACACACCAGTGGTTACCATCAACACATCAGTTGTTAACAGAGCAGCGTTATTAGTTACCGAAGTAAGTATGAACAAAGAATGGTAAGTTGTCACCATTACTATTTGGACGGTTTCCAAAGACAGAGCAATGGTTACCAAAGAGTAGTCGATGGTTACTATATAAACACCAGATGGTACCACATAGAGGTGAGTGATAAATTTGGATCATAGGGGTTGTTAACCATGGAAGTACAAGTGAGATACCAGACACAAAACGGTGGTTACCATTTATAGGTTTGATTTCATTGGTTACCATGTTGTATACAACAGAACCTAATATAGTGGTACGTTATACAACAAAAACGCTAAGGGTTCAATATAACCGATTTTCGGCGAAAAACGCAAACCTTAACTGTGGCATTGCACCAGAGTAAAAACGAAATAGGGCATTCACTCACAAACAAACCTCAAACAACCAAAGACACCAGATATTAACTCAACAACTGAATACAGAAACCAACCGCCAACAACCAACGACACAGGATATGCACTCTTCAACACCCCACCACACAGGATATTCATCCAACTACCGGAGACACATGCTATTCATTCATCACCATCCAAACGACACTGGAAATGTAATCACCAACCAAACGACACTGGAAATGTAATCACCAACCAAACGACACCTGAAGTTAATCACCAACCAAACGACACAGACTTGTACTCAACGAGACACTATGGATGTACCTAACTACGCAGTCATGTACACTCTTCATCAAATCTGCGTTCAAAGGAAAACAAATGACGGATTCCGGATTTTATCCGTAAACATTTGGAACCAGATGGCAAGAAAATGTTAACTGTTCCCCAAAACGACATTTGTGAAGGTTTACTTACCGGTAAAAAGATATTCCAGACGTGCAAAGGACGTGCATTCTAATCCCTGCCATCATTGTGTATACTACCTATATATAGGATACTAAGCGTTACATCAGCAAAAAGTTCTAAACTTAGAACTGACGAAGTAGATTGTATTGATAGCTCTGCGGAAACCTGTAGTTACCTGGGAAATGAACAGGTGAAGCGACCCACGTTAAGTTTGTATTTCCTACCATCTATAAAAAGCGAAATTTCTATCAGAAGGTATTGTCATTGTCACGAATTTGACAACAATCATCTGGTCAATGTCATTTTCACAAATATTGATTTTTTTTTTTAAATAAAAAAAAAATACATTCGTTCAGCGTTTTTTCTCTCTACGTGTATTGATTATGACACGGTATTTAAGTGTGTCACTAGTGACAGGATCGATATTTATAAACTAACAATATGAAAAAACATAAATATAACTTAATCCCGCCCTAGAGCGTAAAGTACATCTCCAGTCATCGATTTTGTTGACAACAACACAGCTGTCATATTTTACGGTGACGTCACACAAGCGCTGTCCCGCTATCAGTAGTGTTTAGAAAATAAATCAACTATTTATGTACGGAAAATCGAAACAAATACAGTAAAGCATGGACTGAATCTACAAAAGGGATGTTTATAGAACGCTTCGAGTTGTAAAGGGGCTTCGTTTGCATGACATCATGATTGTTTAATTCTAGTTTGTGTTTGAAGAGATATTCCAATGATTTCTCGCTCGTATTTACCTAATTAGTTAGACTGAGAGACATGAAATAGTCCCCAAATTCTTTCACGGCTCACCGTGTTTTTCATTGAAGACAAGTTGACTAAAACGGGGTCAGCTGCAAAATTGTAGAATTTCTTCTGTCTCCTTCTAAAGGGCACTGAAAAAACAGAGATCTGCTGCGCTAATTGTAACTCTTCGGCCCTCTGTCTTTCATTGTCTTTCCTATCTTTTCTTTCTTTTCGTTAGTTTCTACCTTAACATCCGTCTTTATCTGTATTTTACAGTAGCTAGGACGTTAAACCCTTAACAAAACAAAACACAAGCAAGACTGGTAACAGGCTATCAGCAACGATTCCTTTTGATACACACGACAGTGAATATGTAGCGTGAATAATTTCAGTTATAGCGATATTTATAGATGAATGATGGCGAACTCAAAATCTCGTCCTTATGTCATAGGAAAGTTAATCAAGCATGCTATAAATACGGAAAAGTTTCCGGGACAAAACACGTTACCGACTCTTTCGACTCACCTACATCCTTAAAACCGATATCGAAGATCAATGTATTTTGTTTTTATACTCTTGTGTTCCGATCGATCACCAAAGACTTCTAAGAGAATTTTATTTCACAGATTAATTTGCGAAAAAAAGATCGATTGAAAGAAAGCGATTTGATTTTTTCTCGTAATTGATGAATGGATCCAGTATATACAAATATTGGTCCTCTATATATCGGTACGAGGTCAGGATTGAGATTATCTCGATGGTAAAAGAAACTTGGACTGTGATATTCAAGTGAAATTGGGGATTGATATGGAATTGTAGTAATCTGCCGATAAACCTTTTTTTTTTATCAAATTGCTTTGTCCAATTAAGGATGTTCGTAACTTTACAAATGTAATATTCATTTCAAGAAAACTTGATATTTCAACATGAATTGAAAATGCAAATATTATCCTTGTTTACTGAGAACACTATTCCTATTTCTATTGATGTGCGTTTTGCTGACAAATATGCATAACTATTAAAGCTATTTTAACCTACTCCATTCGCAATAGAAAGCGCGCATATACTAACTAGTATGTATGTATATCGTGAAGTTTTATAATAATTGGTATTTGGTAACTTGAAGAAAATGAAGAAAAGAACTAGTCTATTTGCATTTGTGTATTTGTACTTACGTGTCTAATCATTACACATGTTAATGGCATTACTGTGCAAGGTCATACGTGTGTAACATCACACATATGTAAGGTAATACATGCGTAAGGTCAGGTACGTGTCAAACGTTCGTAAGGTCATACGCATCTTCTATGACCTCAGTTATTAATAAGGATATATTTCTTCGGCATTGAAGTCACAAAATTAACAACGAGAAATGCACCCAGCAGAACATTTGAACAAAATATTCATTCGGAATCCCAATATCAGACATCTTTAAGTTTGTTGCCTGTTTGCTATTTTTTCCTGTTTTCTTCCCTCACCCAATTATCGCGTCTCATTGGGATGGTTTCTTCGTACTCAACTTTAAACTGTGGACGTTATCATTGTCTATTGTAACTGTTGTGGTCGAAACAGTTTCCAGACATTGGAAAAACCAATGTTCCATGCCTTACCGGTTGAACATGCTGGGGCAAATTACTCCAATGGGTAAAGTATTATTAGACAAATATTGATTTATTAATAAAACAGTGTTTAAACAATTTCAAATGAAGTATGCCTATGTCAACATTTAATTAAACATAATTTGATAGTAAACAACAATATATTACACTTCAGATCCAAATTAAATTTAACAAGTTAGGGAAACATGACCTACAGGGTACCGTGCTGGCCCCGTATTATCACTATAGTCACATATGGTGGAGAGTGGCTCTAACAGTACTTTGTCTGACTTCATATCATAGCCACATTCTATCCGTTTAAATCCGGAAAAAAAAAGAATTCCGAAATGTTTATGACCTTTCACTTTAATGGGTTGTACGCAACATGTGTGACGCACGTGATAGCATGCGCTAATGACATATTATATTCTGACATGGAAAGATGAATTTCAATTGAACACGTATGTGACAGTAAATATGTAGGTACGATTCCTGAATGGAGAGTTAAGAAATAGTCGAGGGATAGAAATTCAAAATATTTAGAAAAAAACATTTTTGTTATCGAACCTGATAAAACCCCTTAATAGCACCAGACGTCATGCGGTGAAGGGGGCCGAACCATCACGTGGATTTGATAAAGGGGACATAACTCACTTAAAGCGCCCACTATCAGATTTCATAGTGCATTGTAAATGAGAAACATATTCGCGAAACTTGTCCACAATTGAAACCACGACATCAACAATATCGTGAAGTGGACGGACGGACGGACGGATGGAAGGACAAGACAACTATCGTGAAACCGATAATTGGACATACACCCCAGAATACATATGGCTTTGGAATACTCGAGATCGCTAAGGGCAGGAAATGAACTATCAGAAAATGCATTATGACAAACAGTCTATTAGATATTATACATGACACATTCGGTTAGCAGGTAGTCTTCAGCAGGTCTAATATGGTCGGTCATAGTCATCTCTCAGACTTGGTGAAAACATTTTCAAGGACACATAATAGTTAGAAAAAAATAGTGTAATACATTATAATCGTCTGTCAAGCACGACTGTCGTTATATATAATCAAGATTTCATATGTCTATTATCTGTGCATTTCCCCCCAGTCAGCTCCTAGAACTGCGTTGGTCGGTGAACTTTCATACTGATATCAAAACTTTCACATTTCCCCCGTCTCTATGACGATGTTTAAGGCGAGACGATCTGGATAGAGTTCCCTACCGTCTTTTGTTTTGTATTAACCTCCCACCTCTTAAGCAAATTGCTGTTAGTACTCTGCACATAAAACACACTTTGAACGATCGCTGTTAACTACCAAACATCTGGCCATTATTTGGGCCTCTGTAACTTGTGTGCGGGCGCTTAGGTCATGGCTAACTTCCTGTCTCGCACTTCCGGTTTGCTGTCATCCATGGTCGACTTCTAGTACATACGGCCGTAACCAAGGGTCGGCTGCGCGTGGCATATGCCAAATGTTGCCGACCCCTAGTGGCGAAAGAAGGAAGTGGGAAACCATTTTTGGTGGGAGTTGACGTATATCGGAGTAAATTTAATTTCCGTCGCACGTCTGAAAAAGACCATACGCTAATGTGTTCAGTGAACTGTCCTGTAAGTCAGCACGCGCTACGTTTGTTTATAAGTGAAGTGGAAGCTGAAAACAGCTTGAAAGTTTGCGTAAAGGTTCAAGAAGAGATGTCATGGTCATTTGGCGATAAAGATCCTTATTTAGTTACGACACTTAAAACTAAGCCATTGGCACACTTTACAGATTCTCGAGAACCGACCTACTTGTTGTCCGCCACTGGAAAGTGTGGCTTTAAAGAGCCAAGGGCTGTCGAAACTCAAATAGTTATCATTTTCTTAATCTGCTGACGATCTCAGCAGGATATCAAGATAATTTTCCTTGGTATTTGCTTTTAATGTTTAAAAAAAATGAAAATTGTTAAACATTAAGATGTTGTGTAACAAAGATATCTGGTAATATAGAAGGAGCGTTTTAAACGATTTCTTGTTTCTTCCCAATCGGGAACTTTATCAAATACCGTCGATACACTGAGTGCAAATGTTGTTTTTATGTTACACTATACGTAAGCATTCTCGCGCGCTAAGTATAATTGCTTTTCCGTTTAGTGATTGTTTTAATTTCTTAAAATTACGTAAACTTTCTTGATGGCAGATCATATCACGAATGGATTCGGGTACTAAGTATATTAAAATATAAATGATATGTTCATAAATTATACTGAGCAATTTAATTAAAACAAGATGAATAGTTAATTCATGGCTGAATCAAAGGGAGGTAGTCAGTTTGGTGTTTTATTGAAATTAATAACCCTTTAATGAATGGATAGATAAATGAATGGATAGATAAATGAATCAATCAGCTTAATTAATTAATTAATTAGTTAATATTTGAAACAGCGATTGTTGAATTGATGTATGGACGGAAATATAGCCCATCTAACGAATGAGGAAGGAAGGAAAGAGAGGAAGGAAAGCAGGAAGACAGGATATTTTGTTACGACAAGTATCTTTCTCAAAAAGCTAACTTTAAAATTTTGTTTGAAGTGACACGTGTTGCAATTGCGCGAAAACTCCCTACACCGCTAATCCTCCTAAATTGTAGCCATATAACCCCTCCCTTCCTCGTCCATGATCAAAAGACGTATTCGCGATTGCTCGGCACACGTGCAAAGGAGCGTGTTTCCAAAAGATAAGGAGAAGACACGAGACAATGACACGTTTCTAATAAAGACAGACAGATCTGAAGAAGATGACAG